ACGATTACAGATTAAATTAACACAGGTTACGGTTATAACACGATCACAGATTAAATTAACACAGGTTACGGTTATAACACGATTGCAGATTAAATTAACACAGGTTACGGTTATAATACGATAACAGATTAAATTAACACAGGTTACGGTTATAATATNATTGAGGAAAAACATACTTACATGTACTGACACGCTAGTTTTCCTAGCATTGTTTAAAAACAACAAGAGAATACCAAAGTGTTAACAAAATCATAATTACAACTCAAAATCGATAAAAGTAAAGCAAAATATGAAGAAGTATTGAACAAGTATTATGATAATAAGACCAGGTGTTCCGGAGGGATAAGCGTCGTTGTTCATCGACGACCCCCGCCATGTATATCTAGGTCAAATGCAAGTACCGTCATGTCCTCACATCGAGAACTTGACTGGTGACAACAAAACCACAAAGCACTGCAATGAGCAAACTCTGATACATTGTACATCGACCTTCATATCAGACAAAGAAAGAGCATATTTTCCAGTGAGATCGTGATGGCGACCATAAAGCTTGTCTATATTCTTTATCAACCTGCTTCTTTGAAATCCTGTGTATAAGTGTATAATCCTGAGCGTATTAAGTGGCTAGATGGGTATCCTGGCACACGATAACCTTGTTTTTTCCGCTGTATTGGTCGGTTTTCAATGCATTTTGTTTGTGTTTTCGTAATTGTTTTGTAGTGTGTTAGTGTTTACTTTACGTGACCAAGGAATGATGTTTACGGACACTTCAGGTATGATATTCGACTATCATAGAAATCTTCATTTGGAGAAAAAGTTGGAATTAGCCATCGGATTAGCATCCCAGTGCGAACACAACAAACAAAGTTTGTGTGGAAACAGGAATATTCCATTGTATTAGCCGTGGATTGATTACTCTGCTAGATATGTTGCTATTTCGTCATGTTGAGGATCAGGTTATAATACGATTACAGATTAAATTAACACAGATTACGGTTATAACACAATTACAGATTAAATTAACACAGGTAACAGTTATAACACGATTACAGATTAAATTAACACAGGTAACGGTTATCACACGATTACAGATTAAATTAACACAGGTTACGGTTATAACACGATTACAGATTGAATTAACACAGGTAACGGTTATAACACGATTACAGATTAAATTAAGGAAGGTTACGGTAATAATACGATTACCGATTAAATTAACACAGGTAACAGTTATAACACGATTACAGATTAAATGAACACAGGTTACGGTTATAATACGATATCAGATTAAAATTAACACAGGTTACGGTTATAACACGATTACCGATTAAATTAACACAGGTAACGGTTATCACACGATTACAGATTAAATTAACACAGGCTACGGTTATAACACGATTACAGATTAAATTGACACAGGTAACGGTTATAACACGATTACAGATTAAATTAACACAGCTAACGGTTATAACACGATTACAGATTGAATTAACACAGGTAACGGTTATAACACGATTACAGATTAAATTAACACAGGTAACGGTTATAACACGATTACAGATTAAATGAACACAGGTTACGGTTATAATACGATTACCGATTAAATTAACACAGGTTACGGTTATAATACTATTACAGATTAAATTAACACAGGTTAGAGTTATAATACGATTACCGATTCAATTAACACAGGTTACGGTTATAATACGATTACAGATTAAATTAACACAGGTTACGGTTATAATACGATTACAGATTAAATTAACACAGGTTACAGTTATAATACGATAAAAGATTAAATTAACACAGGTAACGGTTATAATACGATTACAGATTAAATTAACACAGGTTACGGTTATAACACGATTACAGATTAAATTAACACAGGTAACAGTTATAACACGATTACAGATTAAATTAACACAGGTAACAGTTATAACACGATTACAGATTAAATTAACACAGGTAACGGTTATAACACGATTACAGATTAAATTAACACAGGTAACGGTTATAACACAATTACAGGTTAAATTAACACAGGTTACGGTTATAACACGATTACAGATTAAATTAACACAGTTA